AGGGAACATGTTTCCTCTTCCACGTATTTCACAATCCCATATGCTTTTTTTTGATTAACTTCAGTGAATGAGATTTCCTGTTGTCGACCGCGGGAGAAATCAGATATGCTTTACTGATGTGATTCAGAGTTTTTCAAATCTCTATCCAAACAAAAACACTGATACACGAACATTGTTCGCAAAGTTAACAATTGCATTTCAAATACAGTACCCAGAGACACAAATCGCATACAATGATGAAAGTAGAAACAACTCATTTCAAACAAAACAACAGAATGACGAACAAGCTCGTTTTCAGAGATTCGTATTCATGCCAATACATCGCAGTATATATATATATCACGAATTGGGAATAAAATTGTCTTGAGAAAATTAAAATTAATTAAATCACAGATGACTATAAACTGTAAAATCGTGAGACCGAAAATCAGGTTCATCAAGATCATATGTTGGTTTCTATACTCATCCGATCATCGAGATTACTCGTGATGCGGTGTGTGTGTGTGTGTGTGTGTGTGTGTGTGTGTGNTGTGGAGTTGGGCGGGTCAGGGAAGCTTTAGCGCTTGCATAAATTGTTCTTGGGGCACACAGGGCGCTTGTACAGACGAATGCCCATCCCTTCTGTTGTAGGCAGTATCCAACAGCGAATCTGCATCGACAATCGCCCACGAACTTTATGCAGCGATCGGAAGGGCTGAGACACGTCCACAGTGTGATTTGTCTCAGATAGGTGTGAAACTACTGCACTGGTGAGTGACTTAATCTTTTTGATGTTTAGCCACGCAGGATGGTGCTCACCAATCCGTTTAGACAATCGCCTGACCGTGCGGCCTACTTACGTTGTTCCACAGGAAAAAGTAAATGAGTATAAACAAAATGAGACCGCAGAGTCCGGAACTTTGTCCTTCATTTGCAAACACACAATTGGTTTGGACGTGAACAACACACGAACTCACATGACTCAAACTTTTTTTTTTCGTCAGGACGTGTTTTAGTTTGTGGACCGTTGTCGAGTTCAAGTGGGAGCGAAGTTTCAAAACCAAGTGTTGAACGTCACCACCATAACAGGGTACGTACTAAAACACCAATGATTTTGATGCTCAATTAATAGGCTTCCATTGGTCATCCGGAGAGGCGAGTTGTCATGCCCAAACAGTATGATGCGATTTCCAAATTTACACGCCCTTTTTCACCCGATGACTACAGACAAGCAGTGGATTGTAAACGAGAAAGCATTACAAATTGATAGAACTCTAATCGAACCAGCAAATGTGCACACCTGACTAATTCCAGGGATAAATCTCTGTCAGTCGCTGATTTTCCAAAAATGCCTCTGTAGAATTCATTTTAAGTGCCGGCAATCCACTCTATCTGAATGAAGCATCTTCGTGACCGTGGACTTTTCATTTTCTCGCCGAACAATTGGACTGACAGATGGGGCTATAGACAAACACAAAGCCAGTTCCGGGACTGAGCGGGGGCGAGGGCACGGGTTTTCGCCATTGCATCAAGCAGCACATACGTGCGTTGTTTTGATCGCAATCAAATGCTTTTCTATCCGAGGTCTACAATTATCATTGGGTCAATGTTTCAGTGCGGGAACCGGGTCACGGGGTCAAGGTCAGTGAACACGACTGGAAAGTACACCTGCTGGGGTGGGGGTGAGGGTATACATCAAACAAAAGTAACAACAAAAAAAACCGAGAACAGAAAAAAGGGCTTCATCAACCGGTTGTTGACCTACATCATTCCCAATCCGTCCGTTTGTTTGCTAAACGGTCATCTAGTCTTTTACTTTGAAAGAGTCTTTCACCGCAAGTGCGTTTACACTCAACAAACGAACACTTTTCCCAAAATTCTCCGAATTGCATCCACGATTGCCTTTCTTCGTTGCCATGTTTGTTCCCGAATCCTCGTGGGACATGTGTACCGCTTGAGAGGTACTGTGCTAAGATGGGTTTTACCGCAGCACGGTTATATACATATATATATATATATATGAATAAAACAGGATTTGGTAGTTTGGGCAACCCTAACTTTCTAAAATCGTGGTGATAAACTTCCGAAAAACGGAGACAAATGAAGCGGCATTGGATTGAAAGGTTAGGCACTTCAAATTGCTTTGGAAATAGCCTCAGAATAGCGATGTTGAGGACAACTCCAGGTGCCTGATTTCCCTCGAATCGCTCCACGTTACGAATGTGGTTTAGTTTGGCTGAACAGCGCGTATAAGCCGTTTACATTCCGCTGTCGTATGCTAAACATGTACGGGGACAGAGTACGAACGTTGGAATGTGTGTGAGGTTTGCAAAGGTAAATCGGCGTATATAACTGCGTTTAGTGAGAAATATTTAATCCACTGATAAAACGAGGATTGTGCTAAGATAGCCAAAAAACGCTCGTTCCTACCAGTTTCTCTGCACGGAATAAATGACCGTTTAGAAAACAACGATCATTATTCCATTTTTGAAAAAAAATGAACTTTATAGGTGCGCGGGATTTGATGAACGGTGATGTCCTTCGTGGAAATATGGGGTTCGTCGGGCGTGAAGCACGTTCAAATAATCAATAAACATCAATCATTGTTTCAATGTCTGAGAGATTCACATCATCTCATTTAGAACAAACAATTTGGCGAGACAATTGTTTTTCAGTATTTCCTTCACACACCGTTTACAGAAAGATAACATTAGAACACATTAGAAAACAGATTAGGCAGTTAGACACATCACCAATCATGGGTAATTGTTTATCATAGCCAACTGGCGTTTGTCATTTGATTGGTTTAACTAAGTTACAGCCTCAGGGTGACTGGACGGCGGACACACTTGGGCCATGGAGTGACTGAGCCAAAAGCTTTTGGTCGCAGGGGTCAGGGGTCAACTTTCTTATTCCGATCGCTTCGGCTATTGTTAGAGTGCGCAGTTGAACACCCTAACACTTGGTGTGGGGACAGGAAAAACAAATCTGAGGGTTGTATGGCGATTGTGGGATCCATTCGGTGGACTCCGGTGAATTCTAAGGAAAATCTGTCGGGGTAGTCAGCTTACATGGTAATTGGTGGATGCCATATGCCTCTGAAAATTGAATGGGTAATTTCAATGTGAAAAGATCAGTGCTATCGGTGTGGCCTTGTAGCTCAGCTAGTGCAGCTCGCGCGTACAAACCGTAGGCAGCGTCCATGCCTGGGTCCGAATCCCACCGAAGCTACTGAACTTTTCACAATCGTCATACAAACCTCAAATTTGCCAAACATCCCTTTGCAAAAATCTGAAGACGACGTCCGGATTTGCTTGAGGTCCGGTGTCCACTAAACGGGCTAGGATGGAGCTGTTTATTGATCTGGTCTGTCCTAATATTAACCAGCGTGGGTGATGCTCTTTGATCCGGGTAGATAGCGATCATGCCGTTCGACAAACATAAGATGCGCCGCACACGCATCTGAAACAGTATACAACCATTGATGAGTTCAGCATTGACAGTTTATCGTCATTTTGAATGTGGATCATAGGAGCACCGTCATTTGGCAGCGTTGAAGGTGTTGTCAATCTCTCTGTTCAGTCGTCGAAGTATGATCTCACTCACGGCGTCATCTTGGAATGGCATATAATTGATCTCTTTTGGCGCTATGTGGCTGAACATTAAGGGTTCAATCAGCAATATTTGAATTTGAGGGAAAATTGTGTCCTAAGGAGGTTTCAGCCAAAGCCTATCGCTTGAGAACTTTACGTGGCTCAGTCTTCTGCTGAAAGCCCAAGAGCACAGTTGCTGTTTTTGTTGTTGTTGCTGTTTGTGGTGGTGGTGACACCCATGAGCAGTCCCCACTGAGCCCCGAAGTGTGAGGCTTTGAAGGTGACTGTTGAAACTCTTCTCTTCTGAACTGTACGGGTGTCAGCCAACACTTACACATATAACGATATGAATTATGCGTGTTGAAATTCACAAACCCCATATTGTTGTTTTTGTTCTAACAAAACAAATAAGAAATTTAGAAAATAAAATAATTCCTACAGTGTCGGACCTAACCAATCATGGACAAACGTGTTGCTTCAGTGGACTGGTAAGGAACGCAACAGGGACATTGTTTACTTTAAGTTGGTGCCTCTAACCTGTAACTTGTCATATTATTTATTGAAATTCACTGAAATAAATCACTTCACCTATCACCATGTGTGTTGTTTCTAATGTGGATATTGGCGAAGATCATGCGACCGCGAGTTTATGAGTAGTAGATAATCGAAACGAACAACTTGGCTCAAACCCGTTTTCATTCATAACTTTTAACGGCTTCCGATCAACTTTCAAACGGTTCATAACGTCCAGCAAAACGGGTACATGTGAAACACTGGGTTCTGTGAAGCGCAACGAGTTGTGAACGAGGAGGGTTCGATAATTGGTTGTAGGAATTATCACAACTGACTGCATTACATGATAATAGTCTGATCAGATATAATGAAACTCGAAGGTGAAGGCTCGAGGAGCGGAAAGATGAAGTGCGTACCCGATGTAATAGACAGGGGAGTGAAAAAAGGGTGGCAACGAGGACGAGACGTGAAAAGTGTTCTGGAGTTGCGTGGAATTCAGGCCACTCAAATATTATATATTATATTATTTGCGCTTCAAGTAATGTGATGAGATGCGCACACGATGATCGAAGTGATGTGAACGCGAATTCAAAAATAGTTTGATACGAATGGGGCCAAAAATTTGTAGGAACTTTGTTCGAACCCCTTGCATGACAATAGGGTTTATTATCCCCCTACCTGCATCGAATCGCAGATATGTTAAAACAAGACAATCAAGCTGCACGCTACGTGATGGTTCCTGCGGTCCGGATCTATGAAATAAAAGCGGCAACGAGTTACACACAATATTATTGTTTTTGGGTCACATAAAACATTCGTTTCACTGTACAGCTGGGCTCGTGACGGATTTGCCAAACCGCATGATTTCGTTTGAACAGTAGCCCGATAAAGATGTTCTTTTTTGTTTGTCGTTGAATGGCGCGATCGAGAGATGTGGAGATCACAATGCACAACGTGCATCGTCATCAAATGCTTTGTTTTGTGGTCAATTTGAACGAGGAGCGTGCCCTATGCGGTGTCGCTTACTTTGGTAGGTATTTTTTGCACCATCAGAATGAATCCGAATAGAGCAGCGAAAAACACCGGTTTGCAGTTAAAAAATTGTTGTTTTCACAACAGCCTGATTGACAACTCCTTCGGTGAAAGAACCACTGTCTCCTTAAGGCTAAATCTACAGTTTTATATATCAGTTCAACCCGGTAATCTACATTGGCAGAAAAGAAAGTGAGTTTTAGTCTGGATTTTGAAAAAGATCAGTGGAATTTCGGAAGTCTGACGTCACGGACGACCCGTAGGAAACTCATTTTATCCATTACACAACACTTGGTCAAAATGAAGCATACTGCGGGAAGCGTTTATAAGCCTCGATAACATAAACAACACCTGGATTCTAAAGTACGCTAGGGTACTGTCATTCAGAGTTATCATTCCAAACTGTGTAAACAACGTGAATGGCATATCACTCTGGTGCAACCTTGATAAAAAATGTGGATTCTGAGTGATTTTTACCGTATTCATTCCCCACCAATTATTCTGGTATCCCCAAACACTCGGAAGATACCTCAAAAAATGAACTTCGAGGTAAAAACAAACAATTTGTCCTTTCAGCATTATACAACTATCGAGAAGTAAATATTCTTAATGAGTGCCAAAAACGCTTTAGTGGAATTATATTTTACATTGCTTTATCAGAAGTATATTCTCCAATNGGGTTGAGATTAAAGCCAGACCGGTTTGAAAACTGTTCGATTCGGGACAGATTTTCAGTGAAGGAAGATAATTCCGAAGAAGAGGAAATGGTTTGACATAAAACGACATCGTCAGCATACTTTTGAATATGAGCAGGGTGTGGAACTGAAAAATCACTAATGAAAGCAGAGAAAAGATACGGAGAGAGGAAAGCACTTTGAAGCACACCAGAATTATTGACTAGTGGACTTCAGGTATTCCTGCACAGCTTTGTGCACTGAATTCTTTCGGTGAAATAATCTGAAAGCCACGAAAGCAGAGGTCTCAGTGTGCCAAAAGATTCAAGTTTAAAAGGAGGGATGACCGGGATACAGAATCAAAAGCAGACGAATTATTGAGTAAAACGCAGCGAACAGATTTGGCGGAGCTGTTCAATGACTTGCGTATAAAATGGACCAGAGNAGAGTAGACACAGCATCCAAATTGGATCTGTTGGGCTTATACGCGAATTGAAGAGGATCATGGAGAACGGTGACAAGTGACTGTAAACGAATCAGAATGGCTTTCTCAGTCAACTTTGGAACGACAGACGTCGATGCGATAGGACGAAAACGTTGAGGATGAGGTCTTTGGGAAAGGGTATTGTGGTCACCGATCGCCAGGAATTAGGGATTATCTGTGCAGAAAGACACTCATTGATGAGAGATGTCATCATGCTAGTTAGAGGGGCTGCTCCAAATGTGAGAAACGCTGGAGAAAGACCATCAGGGCCCGCGGATGACGGTGGTTTGAAGGAACGTAGGAGCTCAAAATTTCATCATTGGTAAAAGGGAACAGATCAGAATTAGAAACCTCACATGGGAAGGAGAGTATCCGGTTATCGTTGGACTGATAAAGAAATGCAGCGTTGAGGCTAACTACATTAACATCATTGTTCACTTTTTCCTTTTTTGTCCTCAGAGAAGACGAATTCCTTGCAATAGTAGCCTTGTGTGTTTCGTTTGCAGTATTTGGGACTCGAACATCTTGTTTAAACGTGTAATCTCAGCCTTCATTAAGTAAGAATACTACTTTACAACAAATAAATGGTGAGACTTATAGGATCGTTCCTTTTGCCTTCGTATTGAGTTCAAACGAGCAGATGCAATTTTTCCGTTGCAAACAAACAGCGTTTCCATAGGATAGCAAAAATGGAAAATCGATTTCATCGTTTCGGTGAAGAGACTGACACAGGAAGTGATGAACGAGAAGCAAACCAAGATTGGGCAGTCGGTAGGGAACGACAGAGAAGAAAAATGCTAGTTGATGAAAAGTTACGGAGATGAAACCTTATCTGGGTTGATCGTATAAATGTTAAATATGCAGGGCGAGAGTATAGCCTTTGTCTTAAGAGGAGAACACAATGATCACTGGTAGCGACTGGGGTCATTAGTTTGAAAAAAAACCAAGTAGTACAGTTCGTGATTACCCGGTCAAGTATTGAGTTGCCTCTGGTCCGAGAACGAGACAAATCGGGCAAGCCAAAAAAGAGCAAAGGGAAAACGCTTGCACGGTTGAAGTCACCAACAGCCAAATAAAGATTCTCATCTAATATTGGAACCAGAAACGGGATATAATGATCAAAGAAAGATGATATATCTGAGTGGGCGCACGAAGGGGGTATATACACATTAGTAATAATTGTACTTTTATATCGGGAAAATCTGGGGTGACAACGAAAGGATAAACAGTTAATAGAGTTTTCAGAAAAGCTGGATACCACTTCACACTTTCCATACCAAGAAGTATTGATGTACGTTGCCAGTTTTCTTCCTGCTATGTTGTCTGTCCTGCCGGTAACAGTTGAAGCCGTCTATCTGCACAAGAGCATCCTCAGAGTTTTGATTTAACCAGGTTTCTTGTATGCATACGACACTTGGTTTGGAATGGACGCGTGTGTTCAGTGAGGGAGTTAAATCCGAGTTCTTTGCGAAGAGAGAGCGAACGTTGATACTGACCAATGACGGCACGGTTATCTTGGCAGAAGGGATGCTAATAAGCGCACACTGGCATCCAGCACGCTTGCGCTTCTTGATCCAAGAATGATTGCTATATTATCCAAGCATATTACTAGTGTGAAGCAAGGAATTAATAGATTTCAATCTAAGCATATCCCGACGAGAGTATGTATGGGTCCGGAACATGTTTGACGTTGAGATACCAATAAAATCCAGTGAAATGACGAACACACAAAACGTAGCGAGACCAATCGAAGAGAGTGCGTTGAAAAATTGGAGTTATACCCCTTCAAATGTCTCGAAACATGTAACTTTTGTATTTCTAAAGAAATACGTTAGATAATTATATGATATATATATACAATGTAAAAGTTGTGAGTGTGAAGCTTTAGGTTAAACGCATCACGAAAGCTCCAGTGGATATGTCGGTTCAACATAGTAGTTGGTACTGCAGAAACTAAAACAGCTTTGCAGATATATTAATTAGCATTCGTTATTCAGGACAACCGACGCCATGCAATACTTCAAATATATTTAAGCTAGACCATTGTGTACTTATTCCCATAGATCGAACCATATAGCTCTGGCTCATTACTTTGATGCAACAAATGAATGCAACATAGAGCTGAACAGTCATTTCTCCCGGTTACAGTCCCCTCAAATGTGCCCAGATTTTCTGCTCTTGTACAGACTCTGGGTTAGCAATCCTTGCCCATAACTAACTACGCGCAACAGGAGCCAAACGTCTTCAACATTTCCCACCTCCATTCTGTAGTTTCCATCGATAGGGTAGGATCTGCACATTATTCCCTGTTGTTACAATAGAATATGAATGACTGCAACTGTTCGGATTGTAAGAATCCCAAAGGACTAGTAGCCACAGAATGTTACAATGTCGCACGATCGATTTACACCGGATGATGTCTGTGAATTTACCGGAGGTGAACAGATGAATAAAACATATCCAATGTGTATATGGCAAATGAAGCGTGAACTGAAAAGCTAGAAAGCACTGGACAGCTGTTTCGATCTAGATGGGTCTCATCAGTGCAATGCGAATCCATCGACCCAACTGAGAGTTGAACCCGTGACCTCCTAGGTAGAACGTAAGCATGCTACCCATTCGGTCACCGGGCAGCTGATCAGACCGTTTTTCGCTATCCATTTACACGATATAACACACGACGAACTTACCCTTTGAAATTGAATCAAATCCTCCATTACTCACATCAAATGTGCTTTTTTATTCGATGACTAGCAAATCTACCGAATTCAGACTGCTCTCATTGATAAACTATGAAATAGATCGTTTTGAGAAAGAAGCAGACCCATGATAATGAATGTTTTGAGTCTCATTGGTTTCTCCTTTGTGGCTATTACCAGATATTGGCTTCTTAAACGTTCAGCATGGATTATTTTGCTAAGTAATTGCAATCAAATTGTCCTTTGATCCAAATCAAGTATCACAGGCGTGAGGTGAGGCCTCCAAGTGTGTGTGTGTGTGTGTGCGTGCGTGCGTGCGTTTCTAGCTGTTCCAAGTTAGTCGAGGCACGTGATCTTTCCCCAAATTTGACTGTGCAACTGAATAAGAAAGTTTGCCGAACATCTTCATTTGTTGCGTGTTGAATGCTGTGAATAGTTGCATACTGTATTCATATCATTTATCGGACTGCTCATGAGTGAGATGAGAGGTATTTCCATTCTCGCTTCTCATCCCTTTTATGTTCCACCTAGAAGTAGGACAACTATGCGAAATGAACGCTTTATCCACTGCGCTCGGACGAATCTGGCGTTTTTGTCACCAAAGCGTATTGGGATCTATAGTCCGGCTACACCTGTCGATCAAATGTTGCTATTTCCAATCCACATTATCTCTCGTGACTAGTCCCGCGATCACCCACCCAGCCAACCACACACACACGCACGGTTCGTGGACAGCAAACGTCACGTCGTGCTCAGTGTGATCGTTTTCATAATACATACACATAGGCACGTGACAACTTGAGGCATACTGGAACCGATCATGAGACTAATGGAGGATTTGATTCAATTTCAAAGGGTATTTCATTGTGTATGGAGCAAATAAAGTATGAACTGAAAAGCAAGGAAACACTTTAGAACAACTATGTCGACCTGGTTGGGTCTCATCCGTGCAGTGCGCGAATCCATCGACCCGACTGGGGATCGTGTACATGGAAAGTGGAATACGGTCTGCCCAATGACCGAGTGGGTAGCGTGCTTACGTACTGCCTGTGAGGTTCCGGGTACATGACCCCTAGTGAAAGGATCGATGAACTCGCACACCGCTGATGAGACCAAACCAGTTCGAAACAGCTGTCCAGCG